AAATAATTACACAGTTTGTGAGAAAAAAAAAATCCCCAGAGAAGTCAGACCTGAAAACTAAAAACGATAAAAAGTAAGGCCCAAAAGGCGCGCATTTAACCAATGTATGACATGTACATATGTACTGCTTCCTTTTGTGTTAACGTACTGTCAATAGATATTTCGATGTAATAGAAACGTATTCTGAAGTGGGATTTGGTATACGATTTATACGGATACCTACTGTTCACTTCATTCCTTAACGGATATCTACTGTTCATTTATGCAGTGCACTTTTACATTTGCAAAAAGTCCTCTTTCTCTATTGGTAATTTACTGCTGTTAGAAAAAAAACATTTTTTTCTCAAAGCAACATTTTCTGGAAAAAATAAACGCTAAAAAATCATCCCACGAAAAACAATCTTTTTGTAAAAAAAAAACATACTTTAATAGGATGAACATCATTTGTACTGGGGCTGCCAACGATAGCGTCAAAAAATGTATATGGTGCCATCGCTGAGTCCACATATTTTTGCGCTTCTTCGGACCAGTTATCGCCATCTATCGGTTGAATACCCTCAATTCGGCATCGTGCACCTTGTCGAGGAGTATAGATCACTTGCTAAAGTTAGATAATTAGTGGCGCGTTTCAAAGTTTCTGGTTCAATCACGCGTTTCTGCGTACAATAAGATGGCTAACAGCACAAATGTTTATTGCTTCAGAGTTTGCTAGCTGCACTTTTGTTAGGAATATAACTGTTAGTTCTTTTTATGTGCGGGGAAAAAGCCATCGGCAAAACCGGTAGTGATGCACTGTGGAGCCCCGTGAAATTTCAACTTTGCACATTTTACTGCCGTAGGAAGAAGTTGACACCCTTACAAATGGAAATCTGGCGTGTCCATATATCTTAGGTTTGTCAGCTTGCACATGGACAGCAAAAATCCCCATAAAATAGTCTGGTTCCTGAGTTCGAGTGCTGCTAATAATCTCTTTTGTCGTGTGATTTGGATTCTTTGGACCGTACGGGAACGCGAATATCCTTGCAAAATTTCAGCTTCCCAGTCTGGCTGCCCGGTTCTCAAAATTATTTGCCCATTAAAATATTTTCGACTACGAAGGCGTGAAAATTTATTTTGCGTTTGGGAACCCACCCAAGTGGCAGGGTCAAGTGCCAAAATTTCCGCTTGATAACTTTGGTAAGGCTGGAAATCGAAATACACAAACACATAAACACAAATCTAGGCAATATAGTTTCTATATCAATGATGAATATAGATTGGTAGAAAATGCAAAATATTATAATGAATAGCATTTGGGACAAAAAAAAAATGCTAAAAAAATGTCAAAACTGTTTCTACGGTTCCACTAGGAATGCTCGCTATACCAAGCCACAGTTTGGGATGGTGTAGTTTTTAATGCAAAAAGCACAGAAGGGCGTTTTAAAACAACAGTTTACTGCAACACACACACACATACACACGCACACACACACACACACACACGCACACACACACACACAGCAACTCAGAGCTGTGTGCAGAACAATTCAGCATATCGAACCTCCTGGATTACAGACCGTCTAATCACGGCCGGACTATTGTAATCAAATACCTGAGGCTCACACAATTTCATCAACTCGGCTTAGTGTTTTTTGGTAACGTGAAATCACCCACCTACAACTTTCTGTACCGAAAAATTCCAAAATGCTTTAGTAAGAGAACTCTTAAAACTCACTTTCGTCTGTTGGTCTTTATCCACTGCCAGGATCTCTTCTTTTTTGCAGATGCTTTCGTTGCCGTAATCAACAAACCGTAAGCGATACATCAATTCACCATCATCATTCTTCTCGATGTCAACTATTTCGGCTCGAAAAGGCGCACCA